AGTCATAGTCAATGGCTGCTTACAGTATCACAGAACCCTAATGTTATTTCAATGTCCTTTGTGCCTATTGCTTCATTATTAAGTGGTGTTCGTGGCAGTGGATTCTTAGGCCATGCAATTAACTTGTACCTGCGCTGTGAGTACTGTTCATCTTCTAAGTAGTTATCATATTTATTTGTTTTCCATAGTCCATATGGAGGAAGACCACCATGGCTGTTGCATGTGAGACATGTTCTAATTTTGGCTGAAATGTATTTTTGTTTGCCATTCCCTATGGACTACGGTTTACTGCATTTCGTTTTAGTCCCTCTCTATCAACCAGTGTTTGGGAAAACTTAAAAATAACTGTTGTAACTGACGCATAAAATGCATAAAACGCAAGTGCTGACTTTAGCGTAACTCTTTGAAAGGTTTAAATATGTTTTTCGTCTGAACTTATACTAACAGTTGCATTTTTGTGAGTGGAACCATAGTTACACTCTATCTAATATTTTAAATTTTTGCAGACAAACCACCAATCGAAGAACTTCGACAATTTCTGGAATTTCAGTTACCCCGGCAGTGGGCACCAGCATATGGTGATCTTCCTCTTGGTCACCACCATAGGAAACAGAGTTCTCCATCTTTGCAGTTCACTTTTATGGGTCCGAAACTATTTGTAAATACCGAGAAGGTGAAATTCTACATATCTAAAAAACAATTCTTCTGCACACTATTGATTTTGGGAATGCATCTTTTGTCTAGTCGAATGTTTGGTAAGGGCCTGTTTGTTTTGGACAGGAATGATTTGAAGGGCTTAGTCTATGCCTTGATATATACGTAGTATTTGAAATTTTATAAAAGTGCAAGATTTGACATGATGTGGGCTCGTATAACAATTCAATCGCCTTCTATTGATCTTTAGAAACAATCTGTATATCATAGACTAGCCCTTCAAGGTCTTCCCCTCCATGGCTCCATCCAAACATTTGGTTTGAAAGGAGGGATTATGAGGGGAGGGTCTGTGTATAGTAAGAAGATCAGGTGAGAACAGCGAAATATTGCTTATTTACTTATAGTAACAAAAGTTCAGCTTTTATGACAAAACATATAACTTCTTATTGGTCATTTTTGCTGATGAAAAGAAAGACTAGAAGTTAGAGCTCATGTATTCAAAGTTGTATTTTTATTATTCTAAGTTATATTTCGCAGGTGAGAAATAAATAGTTATAATTTTTAATTTTCACGTGAACTTTTCCTAATCATGTGTGTTTGATTTGATAAAATTGAAAGAGTAACACAATATGTAATGGTATAGCATTATGATCACCTTTTATTTTGTTTTATTGAAACATTCTAGTAATAGACATAAAAACTAAGCCATCTAAAGCATATGAAATTTTGCAGGTTGACTCAGGAAACCGGCCTGTCACCGGCCTTCGCTTATACCTGGAAGGCAAAAGGAGTGATCACCTAGCCATACATCTACAGCATTTGTCAACTGTTCCACAAAGTCTGCAACTAATGGACGATCTCACCTACGAGCCTGTTGATGTGAAAACTGAACGGGACTATTTTGAACCCGTAAAGTGGAGCATATTCTCACACATTTGCACGGCCCCAATTGAGTACCACGGGACTGGGAGAGACGATTTTGCTTCGATAGTGACCAAGGCTTGGTTCGAGGTAAAGGCGGTTGGCATGAAGAAGGTTTTGTTCATGAGGCTCGGGTTCTCAATGGTGGGGTCCGCCCTGATCCGCAGATCGGAGTGGGATGAACCGATGAGTTCGGGCCGGAAGTCAGGTTTGATCTCAATGCTCATCACTACACCATTCAGCACAACGAAGCTCACACAGCCCGATAAAGCTGTAAAAGTGGATTTGAACTCTGCTGTTTACCCCGGTGGACCTCCCATGCCAGCAAGGCCTCCAAAGATGACACACTTTGTGGATACAAAAGAAATGGTGAGAGGGCCGGAGGAGTCACCGGGGTATTGGGTGGTTAGTGGTGCAAGGCTCTTTGTGGAGGACAGCAGGATAAGAATCAAAGTGAAGTATTCCCTGCTGACCATAACAACGGAGGACTCAATCTTGACATGATAGAAAGGAAAGGTTCATACTTTGTACCTAGCTTGTACATTGCTTTGTGTACTATATGTGTTTGTTAATGCAGTTGTGGAGATGGATTGATTGTGTGATTGTAGCAAGATGTTCTGTCGTCAAAATCAAGTGTTGTGGTAGTTGGTAGTATGTAAAGAATCAGCACAAGGTCAAACTAAGCATTCAATTATGGAGCGAGGCCTATTTTGGTTGCTCCAGTTTTAAGTTCAGAGAAAAGAAAAGACAAGGGTATTCGTTTTTGTATGGTTTTTGCTCGCTTTGGTAGTCATGACTTTATTGATTGAATAAAATAAAGTCGTATGTCAGATGCTATTTTGGCTAAAAATGAGGGGAAATGACACTTTACTGATCTTCCTTTTTAGATTGTTTCACAGATTAATTTGAAAATAATATATTAACGCATTTATAAATAATTAAATCTATTAAGTTACGTTGTCAGCAAAATTAGCATATTCAATTACTTCAACAGCTGCTCTCCCATTTCAGAAAAAACATACCACCGCCAAAAGGGGACAAGGGGTTGTCCTTGTTGGAGGTGTTGGAGGTATTGGTGTGTGAGAGTTGTATTGGGTTGAGCTGAAATACACACCTAACAGTCCTCTCTACCCGATCGGAGAGGACAACAACAGAGCTGTCAAACGGGCCAACCCGCCCCGACCCGTGACGGGTTATGCTTTATGTGGGTTGGGTCAGGCCAACCTGTTTAATGACGGGCCAAAGTTTCTACAACCCTAACCCAACCCGCCTAACCCACGGGCTAAACGGGTTGGCCCGCGGGCCGTTGCAAAAAAAAATGAAAAAATTATTCTTTAAAATAATTACCCTTGAATATACTACCTTCTTTCTTAAATAAATGCAACATATGGAATTTTACACTATTCACATGTTCTACTTTGGCTACGTTTTATTTATTAATGTATGAATATATTTTTATGAAAAAAATATTGTTAAATTGGTCTCATTGTAAATTTTCAATATCTAATTTTTTAATTTTTTTTAACTAATATAAATTTATATATATTAATGGTCAAAGTTGTGTCTCGACCAGGGGCGGCTATATGGGGAGTTACCCAAGGCAAATGCCTTGGGCCTCATATTTTAGTGGGGCCTCAAAAAAATTATTAATAGTATAAAATGTCTATTTTCATTTTAATTGTTTGGAAGCAAATATATCTATTGGTAGTGCAAAGATAGATAAAGTGATTTTAGCTCTAATTAATTGGCAGGCTCATAGCCACTAGCTAGCCACCATATAAATTGAAGTAATGTTTAATTAGTTGGATCACTTGGATGGACACAATTATTTAGTTATTTTTATTTTCACTGATTATTGTTGTATTTGTGATTTGTTAACTGCTTTATGTTTTATTTTTTGTAAATATGTTACTGGGGCAAACAAAAATCAAGAACTGTAGGGATTTAAAATTTAGAAGTACTACTAAGATTCTCTCATATCAACTTTAGTAAAGTTTGTGTGACTTTAAATCAATTTGACTTTATTCTTACTTTATCAATTCAATATCAACCACATACAACATTTTTATTGGTTTGCGTGTTACTCCCTCTTGTCCCATTGTTAGTGGGACGGAGGGAGTAGTTTAAGAAATAATTTGGGAAAGTATATAATATATATAATGGAGTAATGGATTAGAAGTGTGTTGTTATGAGAGTATTAATTTTAATATGTGATGGTTATATTCTTAGCCGACCCCAAAATCTTTTGGAAATAAGGCTTGTATGTTGTTGTTGTTGATGGCTATATTGTCATAAAAGAGTTAACTATATTCTAAAATTAAAATGAGAATGAGAAATTTTTAAAAGGACGTCCAAAAGAGACAAATGATAATGTTTACCCGGGGCAGAGGAAGTGTAAGTTTTGGTCCATTTTGCGTATGTTTACATTTAAAAATTTTATTATTTTGATGTTCACTACTTTTTGAATATGCATTTTTTTCACATTTTGTATTTTTATTCAATTAATCTTTTTTTTTTTGTCTTTTGTGCTATAAAAATCACATTAATATGATATGTCAATATTAAGTGTTTTTCGTCTGGGGCCTCCAGAGTTCTGAAGACGCCTCAAGTGTGAAATGTTGACCGATGCATTTATTTAAGAGCGGAGGAAGTATATGTATATCAGTAAGTAGTAGTATATGAAATATAAGAAATCAAAATACTAAGAAATCAATACTTGTTAAGTTTAATTAAAAAATATGTAGTATTAAATAATATTATGTACTTCATACTAGTTATACTAGAATGTGAAAACCAAAGTGGTGAAAACTATTAAAGTGTATGTAGCAAGGATACACATTGTATAAAAGCAAATATGTACTTAAACTTTTTGAGTGATTATTTGTAAATCACGACTACTAAATATTAAATGATAGATCGAACTTTACATAAAATATACTTCGTATGTTTCAACAATTTATTTGAATATTTATTATAGAGCTAATAATTATTTTGCAATGGTTGTAATTTTTTAATTGTAATTATAATAATTTTGATAGTAAAAGAACAATATTTAAGATACAAAAAATTAAAATAATATGTTTGTATATTGGCCCCGTGGGCCAACCCATTTAAACCCGCAACCCGCGTGGGTTGACCCGCGAAACCCGCGAACTAAATGGGTCAGAAAATCATAACCCTAACCCACCAATAAATGGGTTTAAATGGGTCACTCTGAGGGTTTCGACCCATTTTGACGGCTCTAGACAACAAACTTATGTTACTGCATATAGCATAAGATATCTACCTCTAGAAAAAAGCCTTATTTTACTCATCAAAACGGTTTTCCATTACTAAAGAGTATAGACCAAAACAGCCATACAAAATCCAGACAGATGTTACAGATCCGATTGTAAGCCATAAGAATAGACTTAGAGTCAGCCACCCACCCATACAAAGCAACATGACTCGCTAGACACAAAACGGGCAAAAGGAAGCCTAAAACGATCGAAAATGAAGCACCGCCTATCAAAAGTTCATCACAAATCAAAATAATCTGACCATACCTGCTCGAATTGAAATAAAAATAAGCACCGCGAAAGCAAAAATAGTATGAAAGCAAAAGCCTTCCCCAAATTGCTTCCTTGCACGGAGGTGGTTCCGGAGGAGGGCGAGCTGCTGTAGTATGGTAAAAGAGAGCTTCAACAGGAAACCCTCGATTGGTCTCCTTTACCGGAGATTCCTTAATATCAACTTCATCGAGATCCAATTCTTCTTTCTCTATCCCAATCGTCATCTTCTTGTACTGACTAACAAAATTTTCCATGCAATTCGGAAGACTTATCCTCCAACCGATGAGCCTCACCTGCACTGGACGCCGATGAAGATCATCGAACCTGAAGCTGCCGATTCCAAAGAGCCGCTCTTCTCTGGAGACCCTCAAGCCCTACGCTCCAGAAGCCATCGATTCCGAATCCGGAATTTGACACCCCTGCTGCATACGAGATCTCCTTCCAAAGCCCACCTGCTGAAAACGAAAGCCAAATAATCCACAAACGGCTGGAATCCCAGCCCCGCTCTTCGGACTTGCCAATAACGGACGTTCCATTGCTAAGCGATTACCGAAGCGCTAACCCTAGAGAGAATCTGTGCACACCTCTAGAGAAAAGCTTAAGAACACGAATTTATTTTATCAAAAGTTAGAACTTAGTTATTACCATTATATTGTAATTCACCATTAAAGAAAAGGAAAACAAAATGCTACAAGTTGAAAGAAATTAAAAATAATTAAATAAAAATCAATTGGGTGTCCGTCAATGTAACCGGACCGGGCGGGTTGACCTGGAACCCGGCGACCCGACACCTAACCCGGTCCGGTTGCATTCAAACCTGTAAATGAGGGAAAAACCAGTTGGACCTGGGACGGACCCGGGTCGGTCCAAACTTAGGAAAACTGGTAATTTAACCTAGAATCGGGCTTAATTCAAAATTTAGCAGCCAAGGGATTCAGACATGTGTCTGCTTTAACAAGGATCAATCAAATTTCCACTCCACCAAATGCACCCGACACCTAACCTGGTCTGGTTGCATTCAAACCCGCAAATGAGGGGAAACCCGTTGGACCTGGGACGGACCCAAACCGGTCCAAACTTAGGAAAACTGGGAATTTAACCTAGAACCGGGATGAATTCAAAATTTAACAGCCAAGGGATTTGAACTTGCGTTTGCTTTAACAAGGATCAATCAAATTTCCACTCCACCAAATGCACCCGTTGGACCCGGGACGGACCAAACCTGGGAAAATCGGTAATTTAACCTGGAATCGGCCTGAATACAAAATTTAGCAGTCAAGGGATTCGAACTTGCTTCTACTTTAACAAGGATCAATCAAATTTCCACTCCACCAAATGCAGTCGTTGAAACTAACTGCTTCTTACATGTAGTTATTCTCTTAGCATAAGTTTAGCAAATGCCAAGTTTTCAAGTACTCCGTGTTTTAATAAGCACTTACTGTAATTGTGAGAATAATGAGGAAACATACCTTAACGGTAGTCCCAGAAGTATTATTTATAATTAAAGAGTCAAAGATACATTGAGATTCCTACTATAATTAGACAACCTAATTAATATTAATAAATACATTATTACACCCCCTCAAGCTGTGCAGGGGAACAATGCGCAGATTGTCTCGAAAAAAAGTAAAATGCTGTGGAGATAGACACTTTGTGAAGATGTCGGCCAACTGGAGCTGAGTAGGAACAAATTTGACTTGTAAATCACCATGAGCCACCCGTTCACGAACAAAATGATAATCAATATTAATGTGTTTGCTGCGAGCATGCTGAATAGGATTTGCAAATAGGTAAGAAGCAGACACATTATCACATAAAAGCTTAACAGGGTGAGCAACCAAGACACCCAACTCGAACAAAATAGAACGGATGTGAAGAGTATCTTGAACAACATAGGCAATAGCACGATATTCTGCCTCTGTAGAAGATCTCGAAACTGTAGGGTGTTTCTTGGACTTCCAGGACACCAAATTTGAACCGAAAAATATAGCAAAGCCAGGCGTGGACCTGCTGCTGTTCAGACATTCTCCCCGATCAGCATCGGAATAAGCCAGTATAGTAGGTGCTGCAGAGCTCGGCTGAAGAAGTAAGCCAAAATCAAACGTCCCTTGTAAATACCTGAAAATTCGCTTAACAGCAAAAAAATGTGTAGTACGGGAAGCATGCATAAACGGGGAAACTAGGTGAACAACATAAGTAACATCAGGTCGAGTCATGGTTAAATACTGTAGTGCTCCTACCATACTCCTATACCCAGTCGGATTTGCTAACAGATCCCCATCAGTTAGAGAAAGCTTAGTACGAGTGGGAAGAGGAGTACGAACCGGTTTAAGAGTATGGAGATGAAATCAGAGTAACAAATCGGATACATATTTATGTTGTGAAAGAAAGAGCCCACGAGGGGTATGGAGAGCCTGAACCCCGAGAAAAAATGTAAATCACCCAAATCTTTCATAGCAAATGATTTATCAAGACGAGAAATAAATGAATTAATGAAAGATGGGGAATCACGTGTAATAATAATACTGTCAACATAGAGAAGCAGATAGATAGTATGCGCGCCATGGTTATAAATAAACAAGGAATTATCTGAACGACTACAAATAAATCCATGCATCAACAAGAAACTACTGAAACGATACAACCATGTGCGAGGTGCCTGTTTAAGCCCATAAATTGCCTTACGAAGGCGACAAACATAATGAGGAAACTGAGGATGAACGAAACCAGGTGGCTGATGCACATAAACTGTGACACCGCACCCGAACGTCCTTGAAAATTCAATTTAAAAAAAATTGAATTTGTCTATGTATTGAATTTCCGATTTCCAAACAATTGTAAAACGATTAATGTTTTACATAGCGCATGATTGATTATTGTACTGTTCAAACTCGTATATTGGTGTCGGGTTTGCAAATACTTATTTGGGCCTTATTAATGAACATAAGAGCCCAACATTACCTAAACAATGTTACATAACCTTTCAAGACAAGTTGAGGAAGGTCGGGCGGCCCAAGCATTAGTTTGGGCCCAACCTGCTAAAAATAGTAAGTATTCAAGAAGGGCGTCTGAGGCCCACTCGAGGGTGACCCACACGGCTAGTAGTCCAATAATGTGAACGACAAATGTCAAAATAAGTGATGGAATGATTAGAGAAGAATACAAATGCCTATGGTCCCATCTTTGACATTATTAAGCTAAATAATGGGATTAGGATTTTTCTTCTATAATATTCATCATGTAAATTATTGGGATGATCCTACACATATTGGGGATCAATAATATGATGTATGAAGTTGACTTGGCCTACATAAATTATAATGAGTACAAAAAGACATCTCATGACAAAGATAAAACAATAGGGTCCATCTTTTCATTTTGGAAGTATTGGTAGGTATTTTGGACCCCAAATTGAATGGGATCATTTGGGAACCATTCCACATGACTTTGGTACCTGCAAGACAAAGAAAAATGGGTGAGACAACTATGTGGGGCGGACTTTTTGACTCATGAGCTACAACATTACAAAAAGGAAATAAAAGAGGAGGTCCACACCATGTTTGATTGAAATCAAACACCCTACCTTTCTTTTTGTGAACCACATGCTCTCTTAGCATGATTGAGGCCTCCTATACACTCCCCCTACACCCCAGTCGAACCCCAATGAGATAAGAGAGCAAAGGGGATCCACACAACCCAAGAGAGAAGGAAGGAAGAGAGCAGTCCGCAGGTTCGTTCTTCAGTGCGTAGCTCTGATTGTTTGAGACATAACTTGAGATTAACTCTTACATTTAAGTCGTATAAGATACCAAAAGAAATCTCTCAAGACGAGGAATCCGTGGAGGTCTGGTTTGCATCAATCGAAGTAGTGAAAGGCTTCCAAATTGTCCGAACAAAACACAACCTCGCAGAATACGTTTTTGTATTCAAAGTAAGTTTGAATCCAAAACCTTCCTCTCTATTGTCTAAATCATATAAATGATTGAAGAACTATTATACACTGGTTGAAGTGCATAAAATGTTATTATAAAGTGACTTTAATTGTTGGAAAGGTTAGATACTAACCTAGACAAAACCTTGAAGGGTTAGGGAACGAATTTGTCGGAAAACACCCGTTCTAGGGAATGTTTTCGTGTCTTCGGTTAGGAGTTGAGCTAGCACCTTGAGGAGGCTGTTTAACACTCATTTCTAAGCAAGGAATCAGTTCTCAAACTTCCTTGGCCGAGGCTTTGGTCATTGGATCAAGAAGGAAAAATTTAAAGCTCAATAAAGGTGAGGATCGACATCTAATTGCTTACAACTTGTAGGTGATAGGATGTAATTGTGACTTGCATGGAAATGTAGTTGGGCCGAGCCCTTGCCATGTAATTGTGATTTGCATGGAAATGTAGTTGGGCCGAGCCCTTGCCATGTAAATTGTGGTTTGCATAGAATCGTAGTTGGGCCGAGCCCTTGCTATGCAAATGTGATAGGATGTATTTGACATAAAAGATTGCATAGAAATGTAGTTGGGCCGAGCCCTTGCTATGCAATAGTAATGTGATGAACTCTATGAATTGTCGTGGCTTAAAGTCACGGGGAATGGGAATGGTGATTTCTAAATGAAAGACCCAAATTTTGTTGTGGCCCAGGTCTTCATTTTCTTAGACCTGCCCTGCTGGCCGTCAGTCCGTCCGAGCTCTAATATTCACCGGCCACCTCCATGGCTCCATGTTCCATCAGCTTTGATTTTATAGATCCTATTTTACATATTTTCCGCCTGAGGGAATTATATTTCATCACCGCCCACCGATGATACTTCGACTCCTCATCAGCGTCGGTCAAACAAATATTACGGGTCATAAGCTACCCCAAGCGCTGATTTGTACCGTTCGTAAAGGAGACACCTGTCAACAACCGAGTTCATGAGATCTACTTTTTTTGATAAAATCGCCATTTTCATGTGTTAAAGGTAAGTCCAGATCTTCATATCAGTAACATTAGTTTGACCATTATACATTTAGACGTTTTGTGATAAATTTCGTTACACGCATGTTAAAGTCAATTGCTACTCATAAAAATTGACCCTTTTAATATCTTGTCGGAACACCAGTGAAAGTATATTAAACTCGGATTTTTTATATAAATACTGAAATTAGTGCATAATTTAAAGTTTTACCTGTTTCAATTTTAAAACTGAATGAAATTGTTTTGAAATCTCTACTGTGAAGCAAAGTATGACTAAATGCTTTATTTTTTCGCATCATATTTAAACTTTGACTTTGATTAAAACATTTTTCTGGAACTAATGTAATAAATACACGTCATTCATGCAACTTAGAATATCACTTCTACACTGAAATACTAAACACATTCTGTACATATTTTACAGTTTGTATTTCGTGAAGTACCAAAAGTAAACATAGCTTCTTAAGGTCTGAAGTAGTTCTCATTTATAACAGTTGCACATTTTTTACCCATAACACTTACCCAATCTACAGCCCTTTTCATACTAACAGGTGCTATCTTTTCTAATACTCAAGTGCAGCCCTTTTCGATCCATTTGAATTTTATACCAACATGTTTGTGTATATCTACATTAACAACGCACCCAAGGTAAATTATATCTCTATGTTTTACTCATTCATCACACACTAAGGTGATTACAGCTCCATTGTAACAATTGTTTACATGTTTACATATTACAATTAGAGAAAATTAAATATGCCTATACAGGTGATACAAATATGTTGTTTTTACTGAGTTTCATAAGAACCCTCTCGAAATGTGTGGCTATGTATGTGTACATATTTATGAGATTGTATATATCTTCTACGGAGTGTATAAATTTTGAAATAGCTTCACTTTATAGTCCCTCTTCTACTTTTAGAAGCACATAAATTTAACTCAGTGTTGTGAAAATGGTAGTTTCATTTTTAACTTTTATGTGGCAACTCACTGATTCATACCAAGTATTTGCATGCACATCTTTCTTATAATGCATAGCTTTCAATGTAAATATGACTTTTGTTTAAAATGTTGTAATTAAAATCTCTGGTGTGCGGAAAAACTCTAAAGTGATTTTTGTTGAATGATCTTGTGTTTTTAAATTTGTACACAATTGGCCCATCTTCAACAAATCTGTTTTTCCTTTATAGGTTTTTTATTTATTTTATCCTCCAAAAACCATATGGAAAAACTTACATGTACAATTGTACATGAGCTAAATGCAATAAATAACCAATAGATCACCATATTTTCATGCTTTAGCATGAAAATCGAGAACTTACATGGGCTTGACTCTTTAGTTGTAGTTGATTTGTGAGAACATATTACCACGAATAACAGGCTATTTATACTTTTATTGTGAAGGGTTTATTGTAGGATCAAGTGCTGGCCAGCTGGTCTCAGTACACCTGAATACATTATCAGAGAAAATATTTTCCAAATCAGTCTACATAAATAAATGAAGTATTATATTTGGTTTGATGTATTAAAAATTGTACCGTTCATTTGTGGCATAGAGCATGTCTCGAGGAGTAAGGCTGGCTTGATTTACTTTGATTTGACATGTCAGGCACATATTAAAAGAAGAAGTAGACCGCTAATTTTTCTTTTTTTTGACTTTTTATTCATATTGTCTAGTTCTTACTATGGAGATTTTAGGCGAGAGTACTGTTCCAAAGAACCTTTTGCTTGTATATGTTACCCCCGTCCCATTTTATAAGATACACTTTCCTTTTTGGGTTGCCCCAAAAATATGATCACTTTCTTAAATTGGACTCCACTAACTTTTTACTTTGCCACTTTATCCCTTTATCTATCATTTCACCCATTACTTTTTTCTGGATCCATTTTTTTCTCTTTCTTACTTTTTGGAGGTTAGAATTGTAAAACAACCACTTTATCCTTTATTTTCTTAAAACCCACACCAACCCACATGCATCTTACATTATGGGACGGAGGTAGTAATAGATAGATGACCAGAAGGCAACTTTTAAAACTATGTAATTAATTTTTACTTTTGTATTTAAGGGCTTCCTGTTTTGCTTTTGAACAGGGCCTTTAAAATGTCCGGGCCGGCCCGAGTCAAGTCTCTCGTGCCAGGTCGACAAATCCATGCATGTCTAACCAAACTTGGGCTGCTCCAAGACAACAAACAGAGAAACTGTTTGATAAATCTCTATGCAAAATGTGGGGATTTTGGGAATGCCCACAAGCTGATTGAGGAAAATCCGGAACCAGACTTGATATCTTGGTCTTCTTTGATATCAGGGTATACCCAGAATGGCCTTTTGGAGGAGGCCACTCTATCTTTCAGAAAAATGCATTCTTTGGGTCTAAAATGCAATGAATTCACGTTCCCCAGTGTGCTCAAGGCATGCTCGATAAAAAGGGACCTTTTGCTAGGAAAACAGATTCATGGGGTTGTGGTGGTGACCGGGTTTGGATCTGATGTATTTGTAGCCAACACTTTGGTTGTTGTGTATGCAAAAAGTGGTGAACTTTCGGATTCCAGGAAACTGTTTGAGGAAATCCCAGAAAGAAATGTTGTATCATGGAATGTTTTGTTTTCTTGTTACACTCAGAACGACTTTTTCAAGGAAGCAGTGAGCTTGTTTCAAGAAATGGTTCAGAGTAGTGGAATAAAACCAGATGAGTACAGTTTATCAACAATATTGAATGCATGTACAGGATTAGCAGATATTTATCTAGGGAAGAAAACCCACTGTTATCTATTAAAGATTGGTCATGATTCAGACCCTTTCTCCTTAAACGCACTCGTGGACATGTACGCAAAACTGGGTGACTTGGAAGACGCAATTGCTGTTTTTCAAGGAATTTCAGAACCAGACATTGTTTCGTGGAATGCTATAATAGCCGGATGTGTTCTTCGTGAGTGTCACGACCAAGCATTGGAAATGTTGGGCCGGATGAGAAGGTCCGGAATGTCTCCAAACATGTTCACCTTATCAAGTTCTCTGAAAGCTTCTGCTGCACTGAAGCTTCAGACTGCAGGAAAAACATTGCATTCTCTTCTTATAAAGAAAGACATAGTTATAGATCCATTTGTGAGTGTTGGGCTGATTGATATGTACGGTAAATGTGATTTGATGAACGATGCGAGACTAATATATGATTATATGCCCGAGAAAGACTTAATAGCTCTGAACGCTATGATATCTGGATATTCACTGAACGAAGAATACACTGAATGCCTAACCCTTTTCGCTAACATGCACAAGAGCGGAATAAGATTTGACCAAACAACTTTACTAGTAGCCCTAAACTCCACTGCTGGATTGCAAGCTTATGATGTTTGTAAGCAAATTCACACACTTTCAGTTAAATCAGGGTTTCACTCTGATCCCTATTTGGTAAACAGCCTCATCGATTCGTATGGAAAGTGTAGCTTACTAGCCGAAGCAGCTAAGATCCTTGACGAATTTCCTTTTGTAGATTTACCATCATTTACCTCTTTGATTACAGCTTATGCTCAATACGGAAAAGGGGAAGAAGCTCTGAAGCTATATTTAAGGTTACAGGATTTGGATATAACCCCAGACTCATTTGTTTGTAGTTCTCTTCTCAACGCCTGTTCTAATCTTTCAACTTATGAACAGGGGAAACAAATCCACGTTCATGTCTTGAAATATGGGTTCATGTCTGACACCTTTGCTGGAAACTCTCTAGTAAACATGTATGCCAAATGTGGGAGCATAGAGGACGCTGGGCGTGCCTTCTCTGAGGTTCCAAAGAAAAGTATCGTCTCCTGGTCAGCCATGATTGCGGGACTTGCCCAACATGGGAATGCCAAAAAGTCCCTTGATTTGTTCAACGAAATGCTTACTGATGGAATTACCCCTAACCACATAACATTAGTTAGTGTTTTGTGTGCATGTAACCATGCTGGTTTAGTTTCAGAAGCAAGAAACCATTTCAAAACGATGAAAGAGAGATTTGGAATTGAGCCAACACAAGAACATTACGCTTGTATGGTCGACGTTCTCGGGCGAGCGGGCAAATTGGAAGAGGCTATTGATTTAGTAAACCAAATGCCTTTTGAGGCTAATGCGTCCGTTTGGGGGGCACTTCTCGGTGCTTCAAGAACACATAAAAACGTGGGCATAGGAGAACAAGCTGCACATCAGCTTTTCATTCTTGAACCTGAGAAGTCTGGGACCCATGTTCTTCTTGCAAACATTTATGCTTCTGTTGGGTTGTGGGCAAATGTGGCAGAGGTTAGAAGATCGATGAGAGACAGCAAAGTAAAAAAGGAACCAGGGTTGAGCTGGATTGAGGTTAAAGACACGGTGTACACATTCATAGTGGGAGACAAAAGCCATCCCAGAAGTGAAGAGATATATGGAAAACTTAAGGAGTTAGTTGAGTTAATGGGTAAAGAAGGGTATGTACCCATGGTGGAGGTTGATCTGCATGATGTGGAAAAGGAACAAAAGGAGATTTTGCTGTCATACCATAGCGAGAAGTTAGCTGTAGCGTTTGGGTTGATTGCTACCCCTCCTGGATCTCCCATTAGGGTAAAGAAGAACCTTAGGATTTGTTTGGACTGTCATACAGCCTTCAAGTTCATATGTAAGATTGTCTCTAGAGAAATCATAATTAGAGATGTTAACAGGTTCCACCACTTCAAAGATGGATCTTGTTCTTGTGGGGATTATTGGTAGCCTTCTTCATTCAGCTAAGGCCGTCTTTTTGCAAACCAGTGCGGTGTGGTGAGTTTGAAGCTTTAAAGCGCTGTACCTATGATTGAATGAGTTTCAAGTGCATCTGCGGTGCGGATGGTTTTACATGACACCATTTAGATAGCAAATTGTTGCCAAGTGAGATTTTCTATAGGAAGTGAGAGTTGCCTGTGGCCAAACAGAGCACCACCTCCACAAGTCACCAACAGGTATGCCAATTGTTTTTTATTTAATTATTTTTCATTTCTTCCAACTTGAAGAATTTTTTTTTTCTTTTTCTTTTACGGTGAATTACAATAGAAATGGTAATAACTGACATCTAACTTTCAATAAAATAAATTCTTGTCCTTATGCTTTTTCTAGAGGTAGATATCTTATGCTATGTTGTTTATCGTTGGGCATTCCGCTTCCAATATATTAACTGTAACTAGCATCTCCAATATATTAACTGTAACTAGCATCTTGTGGTAATGGTTTATTTTTTTTCTGAAATGCAGATAATTGAGGCTTTGAACTATATTGCAATTTCAGAGAAATTGAAATTAAGAGGTTTGTGGAATTTACCTAGAAGAATTTACTGTATAATTCATTATTCTCATACAAACATACTCCCTCCGTCCCCGAAAGAATGTCCTACTTTCCCAAAATATATGCTTGTGTACCTTCTCAATCTCTCGCCCGGCTGCCTTACAATTAGCTGCATTATCGGTGACAACTTGCAGCACATTACTTGGTCCAACCGTGTCAATACCTCCAAGAAGAAATTTAGAAATTTCTACTCCAGATTTCTCAACCCCAGAAAAATCTTCCGCGTACATGAACATCGCACCACGGGAATTCACCGCTAAAACATTGATAAGTGGCCTATGCTTCACGTTAGACCACCCATCCGAGACAATTGACACCCCTTGAGTGTACCACATGTCTTTCACCACCGTTAGATCCTTCTCAACGTCCCTAACGCATTCGTCGAGCAACACCGTTCTCGCCTTTTCACTAGAAGGAGGTTTGTATCCTTCCGGTGCCTTTTTGATAGCATTCACCATTTCAATAAATTGCGGGTTGCGTAAGACGTTGAATGGAATCCCATTTGCACACAAGCCCCTAATGATCTTTAAGTCAACTGCGTTTCTCTCCAATAGCCCAAAAGACTCTTCCAAACGTTTCTTTGATGACACACTTCTGGACAGCAGTGAATTCTTCAATGATTTTGCAACGTCACCAGCCTCAGCTTCTTTTACTTTGTTCCAAAGACTTTCATGCTTCTGCCTATCTTTGAGGAGTGCAGGACACCTTTTGATTTCTGCCTTTTTCCCTGCTGCAGGCCCAAAAAAATGAACATGAATTCTTGTATAAGAACTGGTGTACTTCCCCTTGCAGTGTTTGCAAACCCATTGCTTTGCACCTCCTGCGTTTTTACTTTCACCCGTGCCAAGGAAAGTAACTTCATCCAGCAGTGGTTTGGCTTTGGCATTTGCATCCTTAGTTTGCGTAGCAGGTACAACTTGTTCACTTTCTTGAGTTTCTGGAAGAACATACTCTTCTGTGTCACTGTCCACTAAATTATAAGTGGCTGGAGACTCTGCTCTAGAAGATGAACCAGACCCAAAAACCATTTTAAGAATTTAGAGTATAAGTGAGAAGAGAATGGAGAGTAGAAAGCTAAGTGATGAAGACTGAATTTGAAATCACCGAATGGTGAGAGTTGGAACAATTTCCACCCCATTATATAGGCTGGAGTGCTGGACGTAGAACAAAGTGAAGAGTAGAAGAGGAAGACTGAAGCGTGAATTCGTTCTGCAGAAATCGAAGAGTTATAGAACGCGTCTGAAGTCTGAACGCCTAGGTATACGATTAAGAAACGGCGATTCAATTTTCGAAGCACAGTAAACGACGAGCCTGAATGACGCTCTGGTACAGAGTTCGCGATTTAGGGCGAGCCCTTTTGGTGTTGCGATCGACATCAGGTACGTTTGCGAACGTCTTGTTTAGCGATGCGGAACGATCCGACCTGCGATTAGGATCGATTGGCCAAACGATCCAACCTGCGATCCCACCTGCGTCTGGTACGCGTTCGTACCGCGTTTGGGTACGGGGCGTTCAGATCGCAGATCGCGGTTATCCCAACGATTTATGTTTCTATGTCTAAAAGTCACTAATGATACATCCCCTCTTCACAAACTTTTTTAAAACGAAAAGCGTCCAAAAGCGATGACCTTGAGCTTTGCTTTAAAGCGAAAGCGCTAAGCAAAGCGTAGCTTTCTCACAAAAACGATGCTGATAAAAAATATATATGATGTGTAGTTAAGTCAAAAATGCGTAAGTAATCATAAAAGTCATTAAGAATAATACTAGTGCAACATAAAAATGAGAAAACATTCATCACACAATTATGTAAAAACGCATAACTAATCATAAAAGTACTAGCGCAACATAAAGATAAAAACATCCATCACATAATGTCTAAAATTCTACATATATATGTTTCACAAATATATAATCAAGCAAGTTTAAATGAACTGGAAAATTTAATTTATCAATAAACTTAGTGGAATAAACTGGAATAAACTGAAAATTAATTAACCAATAAACCGAAAGGAATAAACCGAAAATTAATTAATCAAAAACTGAAATAAATAAACTGGAATAAACTTAAAATTAATTAATCAATAAATTGAAAGGAATAAACTGGAATACGGTCAATAACCTAAAAATTAATTATCCAATAAACTCATTAAACTGAAGAATAAACTGGAAAAAAACTAAAAATTAATTAATCAATAAACTAAAAGGAATAAACAAAAAACTAATTAATCAATAAATTGAAAGGAATAAACTAAAAATTAATTAATCAATAAACTGGAATTTAATTTAGTGGAATAAACTGGAAATAAAAAATTAATTAAGTAACTAGCCGAAGAGGGAAGAACGACGTTTAAGGCTGAAAGGTGTTTCAAACAAAAAATAAACAGAGCAAAAGACTGAAAGTTTTCAAATTAAAAAAACAGAGTAAACCTGAAGAGTGAAAAACGATGTTTAAGCTTTGGATGAAAGAGATTGTGCTTCTCACAGGCGAGTTGGAGATTTCTAGCCTAACAGAAGTCTGCGCGAACTCCAAACCTGCGGCTTCTTCACCTGCGACTTCTCCTACGGCTTCATCACCTGCGGCGTTGTCTGGTGCATGGAAAGAATCGAACGAATATAACCCTAATCTCTAGCGCCGACACACTTAAAATGAAAAAATTGTCCGATCAAATTACCACTTTTTGTGAAAAGCTCTGCAAAGCGGTCACTCACAAATAGCGCAGCAAAAGCGGAGCTTTCTCACGGCGAGTCGCTTTCCAAAGGCCAGGCGGAGAAGTAGGGCTCGCTTGTGCATTGGTGCTTAAGCGCGCTTTTGGACGCTTTTAACAAGTGCCTCTTTGATCTCCGAATTTGTATCTTTATTTATCATATTTATATTATCATCTAATTTACGTACATATGTATGCTCTAATAATATCATGTATAGATTCCCGTTAGCCGACCCCAAAATCTTTTGGGATCAAGGATCGGATTTTGTTGTATGTATGCTCTAATTTGATATGCATTTTCATAAGCAACAAGGTGGTGGGGAGAAAAACGATATTCATTAATACGGGATATCATCAAGTTTTGACAACCTTGATAAGAACTGTAGGTAAAAAACGCTAAAATAAAGACTCTTGTTGGTTATATAGAGAGTTACAGTAATAGATTATGATAGACCTTAATTATCTTCCTGGCCGGGTTGAGGATCTTTGAGAAACAGGTGGTGCTATAGGCATGAGTTGAGCTGCTTTGCTTTCTAAGTATGATGAATTCTGATGCACTAGGATATGCCATATGCCCCAGGAGAAGGTTTGTTGAGGCATATAATGAATCCAGTTTGTAGTTATTAATCCAGATGAAAGGAATGTACCAATATAAGTATGTCATTTATAGCAAATCATAGTTTATTAGATCCATTTGCTGCACTTTGGCATGTCAATGTACTTTCTATTGTATGTATATTTTACCAATATGTTTTTGCGTGTGTTTGGTGCTGGTGTGGTGTGGTGTCTGAACATAACTTTCATGATCACATGTATTACTACTTAATAAGTTTTTATATTTTTTCTTACGAATTATATGTCCGGACATAACTCTCAGGGACGATTTTATGGAAAACATTAGTGTGATAAAGAGCTATTTGAAACAGGGCTGACGGACGTTTAAAATATTTGTCCTGACGACCGGACATAACTTTCATGATCACATGTATTACTACTTCATATGTTTTTATATTCTTTCTTACGAATGCAAAACATCAACATATAGCCTATCCATCATTGTCTATGCTACTGGCCACTGGGAGCTTGCAACTTATAAAGTCCTCTGGTCCTCATGAGTCTTGACATCACTATTGTTTGTTATAAATTAAAATTGTAAGCTTCCTCATGCCATCTTCTGATCTTCCTATTCTTAATGTAATTAAGAATATTCTTATTTTCTAAATTATACGCCGTAAAAGGGAAAAAGGAGTGGGAAAGTAAAAAAAAAAACAGGAAAAATTTACCCGAATAATCCCAACTACTAACGATCTTCTTATATTAATCTAGTGATGGACCCCGTTCGGGCTGCCCGGCCCGGCCCGTTACTGTGCGGGCCCGGAACTGGCCTGGTTCTCGGGTCCGGGTCCGGTTCGGGCACCGAACCGGTGGGGGTGGCGGGTCCGGGCTCGGGTGTTGTTTTTGGCGGCCTGGGCCTAACGCTCCATTTTTTTTTAAATTTCCTTTTAATTTAAAAAACCCTTTTGGGCTCTTGACCCACTTTCCAAATGGCTATATAGCCGTTGGGTGGGTACCAGAGGGGGTCCGGGGCCTTTGGGGGGGTGGGGGTTAAAAAAAACCTATAAATACTCTTAATTTTAAACATTTTTTCACACATCTTCTTCAACTCTCCCTAAATCCTACTCTCTACTCATCTCCATATTCATCTTCTCAAATTCTCTTATTCTCCATTATATTTTATTTTGCTATTTAATACTTATACAATTATTATATCTACTTATATATTAATTATCTACTTATAAATACATATACTCTATTACTTATATTTCTTATGTACTTAATCTCTACTTATATCTCTTAATACATACATACATACTACATCTACTTAATATATACATTATATATTAAAGTATTAAATATACTTTATAAACTATTACTATACTTAATACATAATAATATCTACTTCTCTACTTATATTTCACATATACATATTTTCTTATTCTCCAATCTCCAATTCTCCATTATACTCTAATATTTAATTCTTATACAATTATTATATCCACTTAATACATACATTCTACATCTACTAATATATAGTTTATATATTGAAGTATAAAATATAAGTGTATTACTCATCTTATAGTAGTATACTTATATATTATATATTATAAACATTATATTATATATTAGTTACTATAACTAGTATTATACTAGTTAATTAGTTCATTAGCATTCTTGTTACATTTTTCATTATACTAGTTAACTAGTATAGTACCCGTGCGATGCACGGGGGATTACTCCGTATAAAAAAATTAAAGTAAATATAACAATAATACGAAATGTGATAAAAGTGATACAATAAATATGTGTGAAAATGTATTAAACGCTGAATTTGATGAAAAATTATCCTCAATAGTAGTACATATGTTGAAACTCCAAGATATGATTATCATGTTTTTTTTAAATAGAAGTAATTATTATTGACAATATTAGAATTTTAACATGCAATTATTTTTTTTTAATTTAGCAATAATTACTCCTATTTTGAGAAATAAAATATGCCAATGCTACTTTGGCTTTTCCAAGTTTTCTTTACTCGGCTCCTATCTCAAGAATTTTCCCAAATTTGACAATTTTCTTGATATACAACAATTGTCACACATAAGAACCTTCAAATCAATGGGAGTTATTATTATGACATACGAAGTATAATAGAGCGCGCAACCGTAGATACAATGTTTTTAAAGAGAACATGGTATGTTTTTAATGTATTAATATTTCTAGTAAAGCCGAAACTTCAAAATAAATAAAAATATAGATTCTCAATGCATATATTGTTCCAACAACAAAAGATGAATACATCTAACCCATTCTAATAGGCCCCGTTAACGGCCCATTATAATATGTGCTTCCAATATACGCTTAACTCTAGGATTTTATTCGACACTGCACTTCAATTCTTTCTAGAGTTCCCATCATCAAAATGAGACATCTCAGCATCTAGCCACCTTCACTTCTTCATGCTCTTTCACCTAAAAAATATTAAATGTAACACAAATAAATCGAAAAATGATGATAAATGTATAACATTTGGAACAAATAAAAAAAGAAAGAAAAAAGAAAGAATATAATAGGAGAAACATTATGGTTTTCAAATCTTTGATAAATGATTTTTAATCTTTGAAATCCCCATACGTTTTTATTTCGATCCCTTAGTAAAAAATACGAAGTATGAAAATACATAATCAAAGCATAGAAAAACGTCATTGTAAAATAGATAAACCACAGAACATTCATATACCAGAAACTTGTGAAGTATTATTAGACAACAAACCAAACGTTAGGTTAATGATAACAACCAAATGTTAATAGATAAACAGCAGAACTTTGTTTAATTTAGTGATTTTCTAAAAAATATCCCACTAAAAAACAACAAACCAAACATTAATGATAAATTTAAGCTGGTACTCTAAGAGAATCTTGAGTTAGTCTAAAAAGAAATAGAACAGAAAATATTGAAACTCGATGAATCGTATAAAAATTGGGTCACTTTGCACTAACAAACTCGATGAATCGTATAAAAATAGAGCACTAACAATCTTGAGTACAAATATAGAAATTTATACTCCGTAAAAATTAGATGAATTCATAATACCACAAATTGATATACTATACATGTCTAAAATTTGAAAGAGGAATTGAATCAAATATAATAGTACCTTAACTACCTTCTAGGCATAATGACTTTTCTATCTAGATCAAATTTTGAAAGAGTGAATCAATATAGATCACTGGATTGATAACAGCACACATGACTGACATTTTGGAGTAGTTTGATGAGGCCTGAGGATTCCTTCCACCCTTTGATGGATATTTATAGTCGTATCAAACATTAAGAGAGCTTCTATTTTGAATAATGTTCCAATTTATTATCATCAACTTTGTATTAATTTTGTTTCAATGGGAATTCTAAAAGTTACGTCCATCATTGCTCCTTTTTATCAAAGGTGCTTAATAATTAACCAATTACTACGATGATCGAAGATGTCCAATTTTAAATTCGAAACACCCATTTTCGGCCAGCCATACAAATGCATTTTGCAATAGGAAACTGGAAAGCCTATATCTTGGGCAATAGCAAAACTGGTGGGCATATTGTGGCTCACCGAATTCGAAAAGCCACGTATCCATCATTAATACTTTTGTAATGTTTTTTTATTAGTGCATTAGCATTGCTCACGTAAATTAATAATACCGGTGCTTTTGTCTACTCTAAAGTTTCTCACGCCAATTCTTCTTTTCACAATAATTAAAAGCCAAATTGCTACAGTGTTCCCGCCAAAGTTTGTTGCCCACTATTTTGTTATTATATATATATAGACTAGTATAGTACCTGTGCGATGCACGGGATATCATTCAACTCTTTGAATGTACTGCCCAAATTATTTTAAAATTTAAAGTAACTTTAATAAATAAAAATTAAGTTAATTCAATAATGAAACATGAACTCGTTAATTTAACTTATACAACCATGACAATTTAATGCATACACATGTTAGTACTCTGTGTTGTTTTTATTCAAAATATAAGAGTTATCATAAATAGTTAATTATTCTATCAATAGCATCTAAATATTTATTTCTTACTTACATTTGAGTATAAAAACACTATGTATCATACTCGAACCGGTCCAAGTAGGTGGATTGAGAAATCGGCAACTACTTGGAATTCCGGCTGAATATAAGTTAATTCGTAAATTAACTAAAACCCGACCAAACTCATCGACCCACTTCAAACCCGCCCGAAAATTCGATGACTGGGACCTGCTATCTGGATAAACCCTCGCCCAGCAATGTTTCAACAAATTGCGTTGAAGGGATAAGACATTTTAGAATCAAATTATTGGGATAATTAAGGAGTGTTTGCAAATACTTTGCTTAAAAAAGCACTTTTTGAAGTGATTTTGAAAAAAAAGTGATTAGTAGTAAAAGTTGATAGTGTTAGAAAAAAATATGAAAAATACAAGTTGATAGTGTTTGATAAAATAAGTATTTTGTGTAATCGAAAAAGTAAGAATCACTTTTCACACAAAAATCGAGAAACGATGTTTTAAGTAAAAATTATCACTTGAAAACATTAATTTTAACTTTTTAAGCCAAAAGTCAAGAAATACTTTTTTAAAGGTATTGCAAACACGTCGTAAAAATAAAGGGTATTGCAAGCACTCGCTTATTACATGCTCCCCTCATCCCGCTATTAACTTCCTGTTTTCCTTTTTGGGACGTCCCAAAATCATCTTCTCATTTCCCTAAATGGAAAGTTTTCCTACATCAAAACAGTGTCAAACATTGCAAAATAGTGTCAAACAGTGTCAAAACAGTAAAGTCAAATTTAATTCTTAAAAATGTGTGAGGGCCAAAGTAAGAAGTTAAAAACGGAACGGAGGGAGTAATATATTAAATCAAATCAAATTAAATACATTTTAGAAAGTAACAATCAAAGCAACATTCGGTGGCCCAAACTACTACAAAGTTTATAAGATGGAAAACTGGAAAAATACACTCCTAACACCTGCAATGCACTGCTAGAGCACATTCAAATAAAGTCTCAATCTCCCAAAACCTGAAATTTCCGGTTGCCTTCTCAAAACAATGCAAACAAACGACCCTATATGTTATAGATAAACAACTCTGTAATTATATAAAGAATTATTTATATAGGAATTTAAATGACATGTATAAGCATATAAACATATTTATAGAAATCCTGAAAACCCAATAAATTCCAGATTGATTGTATTAATCTTGAGTAAATTCGGATATATGCAAAAGATCAAAGACACTTCATTACCCCAATACCAAATTTAAATATGTTTATATG